TGTTAACTTAGTACTACTTGGTTTTTGGGTTTTGGTTAAGTACATAANAATACCATATATATATATATATATATATATATATATATATATATATATATTATTGTTACATAAATGACACATATAAGGAATATAAATATTAATTAAATAAAATTTAATTAATATACAGTTACATTTTTATTACCCCTTCTTTTGTGTGAACATTTTTATTGTATATTGTGAGATTATTGGATTTTGTTTTTAAGAAAAATTTTCATTTTCTAAGTATTGATTTATTAATTAAAGAATTGTAACGAATTTGCTCCCGACTTGGAGGGCTTCCTTCATATGGTGATCCATTGCTCCCGCTCCAAGCAAATATGGTCTTAATTACTCTTCTAAGAAAATAAACTAGTACTTCCACTCCTATTCTAAAATCCTTTCAGGGATAAAATCATAATTTATTTTCCTAACAAGAAAAGGACAGTAAAGGATCTTTTATTTTAATTTATGTAGTCCATGTGCTGAATACTGGATTAGACTATAGCATATTTGTTGTATGGTATGATGTGGGAGAAATCATCAAGTCCTTTGTTTTGGGTTTTAGAGGGCAGGATTTATCGGGCTTGGGTTCTAATCATTGTTTGTTTGGAAAGTAAGCATTTATGGGATGCCTTGATGGTTTAGCATCCAAAAGTGTATATTTCCCTTGCTCATTTCTTTTTGGAGACTATTGAGAGAGGATAAGAAAACGATAATCCTTGGAGGTATACAACTGTCAATGATGTAAACTAAGAGCAGATAAGGGCTTTCATCATTTATTTTGGGCCCAATCATCCCAAAGTTTTGGGAAGCATTTTTGGAGAACCTTATTCAAGGGTGGAGGATAGTGTTTTACTATCCATCCGAACCTTGAAGCTCAAAGTTAAGGAACTTCCCTTAGGACCCTAGAACTTCAAGAGAGGGGTATTGTTTGGGGATGGTAAAGGACTGGTTTCAACAATACTAAGTACAGATAAGGGCTTCCATAATGTATTTGGGATCCAACCATCCCAAAGTTTTGGGAAGTATTTATGCAGAACCTTATTCAAGAGTGGGGGATATTGTGTTTTATTTAGGCAGTGTAAACTGTTCATGGGAACCGTGAAGCTCAAAGTTATAGGACTTCCCTTAGGACCCTAGAACTTCAAAAGTGGGGTATTGTTTTGGGATGGAGAAGAACTGGTTTCAAATACTTCTGAAGCCACTTGAAAACCAGCGATCTACTCATCGGACTTTTTCCCCCAGAACTTATTGGAACATTGGGTAGAAGTTGGCTACTTACTAAGCATGATCAGGTGGTAAGATGAGAGACAACATACTCATGGTTGATAGCTGATTTATTGTAGAAAACATGTGATATTAGTTATTTAATGGTTGTACCCTTAATATCCATAGGGATGCAAGCATGGTTGCTGTTTCTTGAATAGAGAGTGGTGGAGAGAGCAATGCTAAGAATTGGGAGTAAACACCTGTCTCACATGCATTTGTCGTATAAATAGAGCCATATATCAGAGCCATGTAACAAAGCATTGAGAAGATGTCCTTATCGTTGTATGTCTGGCCAGTTAATCAATGACATCTTTGGCATCCCTAGGGACATTAAGGAAGGAAACAATGAGTTGCCAAAGTTCTTCAAACTCTCTTCTGGTGGTTCGTGATAGTACTTATGGATTGAATCTTTGGATTGAATCTTCCACCAAATTGGGTCTGTCTTTAAATCCACAAAGCTGCTTCTTTAATTCCTATTCTTAACCCATCACTAATTTATCCAGTGGAAATTCTGCCATTCTTCTCTGTATTTATATCCGAGAAGATTGCAAATAGCAATCATTTTCAGGAGAATGTGTTGCCCTTTCTAAAGAGACTGAATTAACTCTCAGCCTGGAAGAGTTGCAAATTGCCATGAACACCTGGGTCATCCACTTATCTCCCAAAGAAACCTAGGGAGAACACCTTCAATTTCAGTACGCAAGACAGAGAAGTTTGGGAACTGGAAGATGCATTACTGCAGATGTTTCTAATCAAGATTCCACACGTTTCCCCATTGTGTCTGCTTACTGATGATTTGTATACATATTGCTTAAAATTCATCCATCACCTTCATCAGCATAGAAGTAATGAGGGCAGCTTTTTATCCTAAATGTCAATGACGGCTGGAGAGCAATATTGATAATTGTTATGGTGTATGGTAGCCATGTACAAACATCATCACCACATACAGGATCTCCACTTGGCTTGTAGAGAACCAGTTAATGTAGAAAGATGCTTGTTTATGAAGAACGTGTATATGCTTACGTTGCTTGTCTTTCTATACATTTAAATGTTGTTGCATAATGCATGCCTTTCAAACCAGGTTTTATGACCTTGTTTCAGTCCTGTGATTGAGTTTAACGTAAATCATGCTTCACGGATTACTGTTATTTAATAGTCTTGGATCCCTGCATTTAGAGCCTCTCTTTGCTTTTCTAATGGCTTAGACAATACCAAATTTTTATTCCAAAGAGACTGGTAAAGCAAAACATGCAGAAATCGTGCAAGTTTTGTTGTGGTTTTGAACTCATATTCTACTTACTTTCTGGTTCAGGTGAAGAAACTTAAGGAACTTCTTGAGACCTCTCTCGGGTGGAACTTTGACAGGAGTCCGGAGGATGGCATCTTCGGAGAGGATGATGAGGTGTGTATAGAAAGTAATTTCAGTTTAGTCTTTGTATAGTGACATTATGCCATTGGTGCTACTGAAAGTTTTTCTATATCTGCAGTTTGCTCCTGTCGTTGTTATGCCTGAGGAAACAAGAGGTTGTGAGGAGATGGCTTCTTAGATACACCGGCTATCATTGCTCCATTTAGTAAACTAACATCAAAGCTAACCATCGTGTTTTGCAATGACGAAAAGATTTAAAGTCATTGGGCATTTCAGATTTTCAATATTTATACGTGATGAGCCATTTTGAATTTCTATTGGTTAGTTTTGATTTGTAGAAAACGTAACAAGAGGTTTGTAGAAAACATGAAAACTTTCTAAAAAACATGCCCACTCAAGAGTTGTCGGTTTCACTCTACACAGAGGGGAAAAATGGAGGAATGAGCTAAAGGCCCAGTAAGTAGATCATTACCCTTGCATTCCTGCTTTCATGTAGATATACATGGTAATATGGCTCACAGTTCATCATAGGTTAAACTGGTATCACATAGTAAAGTCGTGCATCATGATACACTGCCAATGTAAGGATAAAATTCAGATATCAGGGCATCAGATATTCCCTGAGCTAGCAATTACATAGATACTTATTACAACCACAGTCAGACACTCAATCAGAACACACAATTCACACAAGTAAAAACTAGATCTGCGTACTCTCGAAGTAGAAGTCACATCAATTAGATTGAGTCAATCCTGTAACTTGGGATTTCTACCCTCATTCAGGAGGAAGGACAATGACAAATGGATACTTCATTTCGTAATGTCTTCACTCACACATACAATCTCCAGTGCGCTTCGGGTTTTTTGATAGGCGGTGGCTTTACAAGATACGACTCTCTCCTTATGCTTTCAGGCGAGAAGCCGTTACATTACCATTGGAGGACTCAATGCGTATTGTCCATAACAATATGGGGGGCGCAACCCTCATTATTTACAGTCACCTTCCGACTTCATTCCTATTGCTGAAGTCGAGGCACAATCTATCCAATTATCAATAGAGGATCCATTGCGTAGTGGTTAGTATCACATATAGATAACAGGATCACAATATCCAACTACCAATAGAGGACCCATTGCGTAGTGGTCATGTCACATTTAATTGCACTATGTACATGCATGCCTAAGCATTCATGTGCTCATGCTTTGCTATTTTCAAGGGTTCAGGGTTATTCATAGTAGCATAAGCATGTATTTTTAGTAAATTATGACAGATAATTTCAATCTCCTTATAAAGAAATCAAGCTATATTAAAAAATATTAGTGAATAACGTGTGCATAGTTTGCATAACAATTTGGGATTCATTATCATTCCCATCGGTAATAAGCATATGCGAAATGAGGCATAGCATCCAATTCTTGAGGGATTTCAACTCAATTTCAATTATCAACTTGATATGGATATGTATATCCTTTAATCAAAGAGAAAATCGAAGTTGTTTAAGCATCACTTGGTCAATTAAGAGTTCAGTGTATAGTACTGAAATTCTGAAATAAACCGCTAACAGTGACATGCTTTTACAAGTTGTTAGAACTACAAATTTTGGAGATGTGACCTCTTCAAATTATAGATTTAGCTCAATAAATATATAAGTAAATAAAACCTAAACATAAGTGTACCCTCTATGCACATGAAAAGGATGATGTATCGAGATTGAATAGAGACCATTCAATTTTTAGATGATGCAATCTACGTATTAGGAAACTCAAATTTCAAATTTTTTTTTTTAAAGAATAATCATCTAGTAATTCTCAAGTAGTTCCCAAAATTTGCAGGTAGAAAAAATCCCCCCAAGTAGATCTTCTAGCCGAGGGAGTTAAAAGTAAACTATGCTCTTGAGGGAACATAATATACATGCTCATCATTTAAATTTATATATTTTCTAGGAAGAGGCTATTTATCTTTTGTACTCTTGTCCATTACATTTCAAAATGGGTGGTTGTAAGGGTCATCGAATAGATACAAAATTTCAAAAACAAATTCTCAAACTTGATGATTCATCCTAAACCATCCAATTTAACATCTATTGAATGGGAAGAGTTATGACCTTTTTGTACAAAAGATAGATGGTCTCTTTATAAACAATCCCTTGAATTTTACCTGTACATCAAAGTGTTTTTGAAACATTTGACGCGCGAATGCCTCACTCGATCCGTGTTTCCTCACATGAAAATTGATGATCACATCAATATAACTATCTACCTGAATTGCACATCGAATTTGAGACGACTCATGCAACCATAGCCGTTTATTTCAATTGACAGGATCACAGCCCCCTGAAGGAAAAAAGAAAGAATATTTTGTCACTTTTTAGAGACAAATTAATGCCAATCGATTTATCGCTATTTTAGAATCCTAACGAATAAAATATAAAGATTTGGACTATATATTTGTTTGTCAAAGGACAAGTGGTTGAGTTCTAGAACATGAGGTTTTTATAAATTTTAATTTTTTTTACTTATTTATTTTTTATTTGACAAAAAAAAAAGTAAATATGACACCTTAATTTTTCATGATATTTTAGTTGTGTAGAAAAGTTTGTCTCACCTTGTAGAGTTCACATAAGGTTTATGTACAAAGTATAGGACATTTTCAACTTTTATATTTTATTTACATTTTTTAAAACTCAAAATATCATTCTTTCTAGACTTTTATGTATTAATTTGATTTTAGTTGTTTGAAATAATTTCCAGTTTGAAATAAGGGATATGAATAAATAAAATTTTAGAACTGCATGTTGATAAATGAGGTTTACTAGATTCTCAGATTTATCTATGTTTTCCTTATTTTTATGTTTTCGGTAAAGTTAGAGAACAAGATCTTTGACGGTTGAGTGTGCTTTTAGAGGTATAATACAAGTCCAAACACACCAGAAGATCTACAAGCCAAGATTAGGGATAATCTTAAAATATAACAGCCGAGCAGCCCTCAAGCCTATATACGCTGAAAGACAATGGGCCATGATACAAGAGCAATGGATATACTCTCAAAATATATCTGCAAAGTACGCTTCAAAGGCTTTTCATACAAGGCCTCGATATGCTTTACCCACCGATGAATCATAGAAGAATGCCAACTAAGTTTAATATGAGATCAAACTTGAGGAGTTTTGTCCCCATGGCCTCTATATGCCTCTCCACATGATATTGGAGGAGTTTGGGTACAATTTGATGTCTTTAGATCCATCATTCGTCAAAGAGGGGTTTGATGCCTGGACTCTATAAAACCTCATTATATTATATCAAAATAAGGTGAAACCTTACAGATATTCTTAGCGAGATTTCATTTGCCTCTAATCAAAGAATCCTACAAAACAAAAATTATTTGGCTCATCATTCAAGTTCGTCGGTTGCCAGGATATGCCCTAACCAGTCCCTTAGTAATATTTGGTGATTGATCCAAAACTTTTTGAAAATTATAGGTGAGGCATAATAACCATCTTCCTAAAGTTTTAGATCTTTTGGAAATTATTTGACACCTTATTTATATGCATCAGCAGTCAAGGCTCATGTCTATCGTCTTCCAGGCACATACTCAACAGCCAAGATGACCTATGGTCTCTAAAATTAATGTATCTCCCAATCTATAAGAAATTTTCTGATGAAACTTAGACTATTAGAATTTGACTCAATATCTTACTAGCATAAGAGGGTGGCACTCTATGGATCTCATATATGAAAGCATTTGAAGCTGGAACATAAGCCATAAAAATGTGCAAAAGCTTAACCACCAGATCTAAATATCTCCCAAGAATGGAAAGTTTTGGCACAAAATATGAGATTATCAAATTCTTAGTACCCACAATAACCCCTCTATATGATTATCAAATTCTTAGGACCCACAATGATCCCTCTATAAGATTATAATGAGCCCCTGAGATGAAAGTGGTTGAACCCACAATGAGCAACTCTGCCATCAAAATCTACAGCAGAAAATGGGTCATATCTCCCTTGCTACTTATCTATATTTGAAGTGAGACTTGGAAGTGAGACTTGGACCTTTGCATTTTCCTTTGAGTCATGTTACACTATGAAGATTTTCAAGCGAAAAGATTTGACTATGAAGATTTTCAAGCGAAAAGATTTGACCATCAGAGAGCAGCCCCAGTTGGATTGAGAAATGGCAGAGCTGCACACCGGTTCGACCGATGACAGACGAATGCTTAAAATTCAAATGGGATTAAATATGATCACTATAAATTCCTTGAGGTATTTTCGATTTACATTCAAAATGGAAGGTTCTCTCATCCAACCAATTGTGAGAGAGTTGGTTGCAAGCATCAGGATAAACGTGATGGTGCTCCATGCTTATGATTTGCAAAACTCTATAAAACTCGATTAATGTAGAAGGAAGGGGGACTGATTAAATTAATATTGTGTTATACGAAGATACCCTCACGTGATTGAGAGAGAATCAGAGTGACATTTTGCTAGTTCTATCACGCCTCAGTAAGGAGACAAGCCCCTAGTAGTGCCGACCTCCTGCATGTAAAAACAAATACAAAGAGGGAACCATGATATTCGAGACTTATTTGAAGCCCAGGTCTTGAGAAGCAGAGTGTAGGCAATGCCCTTGTATATTTCCAGGCAGGCATTTACACACCTCTTGGTACTGATCATTTTTATAAGATTCAACTTTCGTTATAACTTACCCCCAATTAATTTTTTTATTACAACATTTACCCCAAAACAAACTTTTCTAACAAATACCCCTTAATCAAAAAGTTATAATTTTGAAGACTAAAATACCCTCACTGTTTTCTAACACATACTACTTAACTTTCCCCATAACATACAAAAAGGTGGTCCACTAGTATACACAAGCAGTCTGGCAATATCCCAAAGCAGTCTGGCACTGACAAAGAACGGCCCGGCAATAGGCCCCTGCAGTTCAGCATTGCCAAAGAGCAGTCCGGCAATAGACCCATGCGGTCTGGCAACAGGCCCATGCGGTCCAGCAACAGGTCCAAAGTGCGGTCTGGCAATATCAAAGAGTGGTCTGGCACATTTTTTTAGTTTAATTGGGTTCGGCAATTGGTACATGATGGTCCGACAGCCTATGTAGCTTTTGGTACTGTACGTAAGCCCACATGAATGTCGGGGAAATATTTTTTTTTTATGTACAAAAAATGATATTTTCGTCAAAAAAATATTCTTTTCTTTACTTGGGGGTATTTTCTAAGAAAAATATATTTTGGAGGTAAAAAATGAAAAAAACAAATTTGGGTTAAGTTGCATAGGAAGTCTATGCTTGGGGGTTATTTGTAATTTTCTTTTTTTTCTTTGTAGATTTTTACATATTTCAAGGCCTAAATCAAATCAAGGTTGGTCGGACCCCATATAAAGGTATGATGTAAAATGTAGGGTTGAAAGTCCCTAGAACTCTACACCAACCCGAATTTATCCATTATACGAAATTTAATGGCGAATTTCTCCCTCTATCTGTTAGTTCTCTAGTTACTGCATGATAATATATTTTGCACACAAGTTTGGAGCAGACAAGCGACTCCATTAGAATGGAATTTACCCTTCATCTTGGGTAAAGTCCAAGAAGATAGACCATATTCTCTTTCTTGTTTTGGGCTTCACAACTCTCTTTCTTTAACTTGACGTTCAGTCCCTTGGGTTATTCACACAGGTAGTCAAAGTGTCCTCCATGGCTTTGCACGTTTAATTTTTCGTGGGCAACACCGTGTTAGTCCCATATGGACTCACAACAATGAAAAGGACTGATCTTATGAAATGAAAGCTTGCTGCCTTCAGCTTCTTTGTGACCAAAACAGGCCAATTAGCAAGCCAATCACCGGGATGTGGGTTTAAAGTTGACCGCCGGAAAAGGGTTGATGTTTCCCGCACCAGAGGGAACAAAATGGGTATAAAAAACTGTAATCAGTTGGTGCAAAGAAGAAGCTAATTTCCCTTGTAAATTATCTTCGACAATAGATGAGATAAGAGACAGTTTCGTGGAAGGAGATATCCAAATCAATCATTGCTACATGGAACCATCCATTCATATTTGATATTCACCAAGTTCGATTGGTAAAACATTTTCATAAGATCTTTGTCTTCTTTTTTTTCTTATTAGGCCCATAGGTCTCTCACAATGAAAGACATGTACAAAAAGCATTAAGTAATGCAAAGCTTTTATGTTCATATTTAAAAAGGAAAAAGTTGGATTAGGCTCACTAGCCAACAGTTACATATGAGCCTAACGGTCGAGATCCAATCTGAGCCGATGCAATAATCACGATTGCATTTCGCATTTGAATTTTAATTTTTTTTTATAATCCAAATCACTTGAAATTTTGGACGTGTGTCCTTTAAAAATAAAATAATTTAATAAAAATATCAAAAAACTATTTCATAAAAAATAAATTGATCAAAATACCCCCGAAAATTTTTAGGATATTTTGATTAATTTATATTTTACGAATTACTTTTTAAATGTTTTTATCAGGTGTGTTTTGATAAGAAGAATAGACGTCAAAAATTTCACGTGATTTAGATATGTAGAAATAATTAAAAATTAAAATACGAAATGAGGTCGTATCCGTCAAATCGGCTCAGATTGAATCTGAATCAATGAGCTCATATATAGTTATAGGCTAGTGGGCCTACATGAGCTTTTTCCATTAAAAAATGCATCCAAAAATTAAGGAGTAAATATAAGCCTTCCAAATATTTGTGAAAATTTTAGTATAATAAGTACCACACCAAGATGCAGTTATTACACTGTAAATAGAAAATTGGCTCAATTAGACGTGGTTAGAAACGAGGATTGCATATTGCATTTATAATCCTCATTTCGCCAAGTCCTAGTTAACATTCAAAAATTAGAAAAAGAAAAGTAGTATGTGTTAGGAGACACACTTCTAAAATAGCATCCCCTAACGTATGTAAGATGGATGATAGAAAATGATGGGTATTTTAAAATCGACGGTGTACAAGTTATGTTAAAAGTTTTTATTTATATTTTTAGAAAATGATGGATATTTTTAAATCGATGGTGTACAAATTATGTCAAAAGTTTTGATTTATATTTTAATATATTTTTTTTTCAAAGGTTTATGTTCTTGATGGTTGAAATTTTTATTTCTTAAATATTTTGAATTTAAAATCCATCTCTAAATAGATTTAGGAGAGAAGAGTCATTTAAATTAGGGTGCAGTTTGCATACGGATGTATCCATCGGTGTAAAGGTAAGGTGCACCTTCAAATTTTATCATGGTATATAATTTTGATGTAAAACGTTCTTACGATTATCTCAAAATCTACTTTTATATCTAATTATAAAATTTTAAATTTCAAAATGGTTAAAATCAAGTAGATCTATAAACATATGAAAATCTTGAAAATTGACAGTGTAGATAATTTGTTGTAAAATACAAGATTTTTTAGACTTAAATTCTTTTAAATTTTCATAGTCATATATCTCAAAATCAAAGGGTTTTTCAACATTAAACTACCTTTTCCGATGGATTTTTGAGGGGCATCTGTAGTTCTACATTATAAGGTAGCATCCTTATATAAACTTTTTCCTTTAAATAAATGAGTTCGCCAACTCATAGAAACCTTGTCCATAAGAAAATGCACCATAAATAAAAAGGGATGGTTTTTATAGGGTTGCAACCTTAAACAATCCAAATAAGATGCGCCTTTAAATTTTATCATAACATGTAATGTTGGTGTAAAAAATTCTTAGGATTATCTCAAAATCTATTTTAAACTCCAAAAATAGTTAAAATCAAGTATATCTATAAACATATGAAAATCTCAAAAATGGACAATCTAGATAATGTATTGTAAGATGTACTATTTTCGAGACTCAAAATCAATTTTCTTTGATATAT